TTGGTTTCCTAGTAACTAGACTAGAACTCTTAACCTACTGAACTGTTTGGCTTTCAAAAATTCGGTTTTCACTAGATTTTTACATAACAAGTTGCAGGAATCTGAAATTAAGAAGCTCTATTTTCTTCTAGGTACACTGTTATGTTGAATTATCGTATGAAACTAGGTAGCTGAAAGGTTTTCAGTACTAATTCTCTTTTTGTAAGAGTGGAGGTTGGGAATTTAATTAGTAGAAATACTAGGGTGGCTTTATTTCAATTCATTTCTACTTTAAGAAATTTAAGGGAAACTGCCTTCCCACAACTGGCTATAGACAGTGAAAGGCAGTAGAAGCTGAGACATTGTGGGTGTAAGCACTCAGCTTCGTACCATTATTTGATTGATGACTTTTTTATTTATTTGTTCCATGACAGCTGACTAGATTGACACCAGTGTTTGGATATTATCTGATAGATAACATATCTCCAACACATTTCAGTGCTATTACCACAGACATTATCTGTTATGTCAATAAGTTGACAACCAGGACTGATAATGGTATTGCAATATATATATATATATATATAGATAGATAGATATATTAAAAAAGTTTTAAAAGTTTTAAGTTAAAAAGTTTTAAAAAAGTAAACATGTAATAATGTTTGTGGAAATGGATGTCTTTTTCAGGTACTTAGCCACCTTTTGATCGGGTTCCCAACACAGGAATTTTAGGAGATGTATGGAATTCCTAGAACACATGTTTAAATTCTCTTGGTAAACCTTTAGGCCCTAGTTAGGGATACAGAGATCAAGCTTTGAAAAGTGTGGATTTGGATCAAAGATGCTCACAAAGGTCAATAAGTGTCCAAGGATATCAGCCAGTCAAAATACAGCTGTCAAAGTCATTAAAATGCTTCTTTTTTGCCAAGTGTGATCAGGTTATGTGCCTTGGGATTATCAAGATTGTGCTGACCTACATGTCATGGTTGAAAAGCTGCATTGAGAACCATCTTCAAGAATAGTAACTGGCCAAGACATAAAAGATGCCAAATTAAGTTGTGTTACACATCCTGTGATTATAAGGATTTTGCTGCCCAACCAATGAATGATGAAAGTTCAAACCTCATGTTAACCATTGGTGTGTTTGTCAGAATGACTTCAAATGCAGAAATACAACTGTTAATATGCCCTTACTTTGACTACAATAAAACAAACGCTTGTCTTGGGAACTGGCAGTATGTATAAATAATTATCAAGCAATCTATTTTTAATTGATTGTGCTTTTCATCAGGTATTAGTATTAGACCTATTGAGTTTTTAAACACTAAATTCTTTATCTAATCTCTTGGAAATTTTCAAGAATTAGAAGAGTGTATAATAACAATATTCAAACCACACCATATTTGTCATATGCATTGCCAATGATTTGATTCACTTAATCCAGAGCTCATTAGACCATCTGGGACACACAGAAATTGTTGTACAAATGGCTTATATAAGTAGTGTTCTAACTACTGTGTTGGTTTTGTCCCAACCATACTGATGGGCGCTGGATTGACCGAATTTATATATATATTGGCAATGGATATGGCAAACAATGTAGTTGGGATACTTTATTGTACAACCTTCTAATGCTTGAAAATCCTTCAGGGACTAGATAAAGAATGCAGTGTTAACAATATAATAGACCTAATTCTAATGCCTTATGACAGGTATAAATAATTACAATCATGCTGTGCCAGCTTCAAAAAGGCATTCACACCATGACAATTGTTGTTATAACATATTTCTTCACTAAACTTTGGCATGTTGTGTGGTTAAGATCAAATTACCTTTAAAGAAAATAGTTACACAGATACATGGCTTCACAGTTATCGAGAGACTTCAGTCCATGTTTAAGTTATGGTATTAGTTGAACTTTCTTAGTGCAAACATCTTCTATGTCTATTTGTTAGCTACACACATCGTGTAACTAGGATGTTGCCACATATAGTTTGTTCAACATTAGACAAACACAACAAATGTTTAAAATTATTCATACAGAAATCCTCATTTTATTAATGTCTAATGTTACGTAAACTCACTAGATAGTATACATTCAGAAAGACTTGTAACTTTACAGGAATCTTTAATTTATTAATGTCTAGTGTGACAAAAGCTAACTGACTACATTCAGAAAGACTTGTAACTTGATACAGAAGTCTTTGAATTATTAATGTCTAATGTTGCATAAACTGACTAGATACTATACATTCAGAAAGAGTAGTAAATGTATAGAAATCTCTGTTTTATTAATGTCTAATGTTACATAAACTGACTGGATAGTACATATCCAGAAAGACTTGTAACTTGATACAGAAATCTTAATGTTATTAATGTTTACTGTTACATAATCTGACTGGATACTACATATTGAGAAAGGCTGGTAACTGGATACAGAAATCTTTGTTTTATTAATGTCTAATGTTACATAAACTGACTAGGTATTTTACATTCAGAGAGACTGATAACTTTACAGAAATCTTTGTTTTATTAATATATGTTATATAAATTTAAAGGGTACTACACATTCAGAAATAGTAGTAAATTTGTAGAA